GCCACGTCGGGGGCACCCAGGACGGCCCTCAGCGACGCGGGGTTGAGCTCCAGCAGCCCTACGGCGCCGGCTCCGCGAGCCAACAGCTCGCGCAGGTTGCGCGCGATATAGCGCTCGGCTGCGTCCAGCGTGTGCGCCAGGCCGAAGCGCGCGGCCACGTTGGCAGCGAAGCAGCAGTTATCCGGAGCCAGCAGGCGCTCCAAGTAGCGGCCGCACAGCCCCAGGGCCTCGGTGACCTGCAGGTAGCTGGCGGCCTCCAGCGTGTCCTCCACGGTGTCCATGGAGAGCGGTAGCCAGGCGGTGTAAATGAAGTCCAGCAGACGCTGCAGGCCGGCCGCCGACGGCACGTGCAGGTGAATCACGCGGGCCCGGGATTCCTGGGTGTGGCTCTTGAACAGGGCCCTGAAGTAGTCGCTGGAGCAGGCGAGGAGAGACCTGTGCGCCAGGAACTCGCTGCCCTCCGTTTCCAATGTGACGTCGCACAGGAAGCCCTCGGCGCGCAGGGCCTGGTAGCCGCTGAGCAGCGCGGCGCCATGAGCTTTGCAATAANGCGGGAAGCGGCCAGGCGGGGACTGGGGCCAGCCGGGCGTGGCCGGAGGCATCCTGGGACCCCACGCGCGAGCTTCAGGGGCCCATTTTTTCCTGCTCAGCTTAAAGCCAGGAGCTCCTCCATCGGGGTTCGCAGATCTCCCCGTATCCCTCTTTGAGCCAATTCGGTCGGGGAACTGCTTCCAGAAGCTCCTAGTGGTGGAGGACACGGAGTCTGGAGTCTTCCAGAGAGTGCAGGGTTTGGTTTCTGCGGCTGCCAGCCCGTTACCCAAAGCCCCCACACCAGCCCAGCTTGGGGAGCCCACACCTGCGCGCCAGGGGCCTCGGTGGCCGCGCACCATCACCTGGAAGGGCCGAGCTGCGAGTGGACCTACTCCCGGAGGTGCTGGATCTCCGACGGCCCAGATGCGCAGATGTCGCCCGGCTGGGGGCGTCCCGGGAGTAGAAGGCGAGGGCTCTGACCTCTCGCGGGTGGACAAGGAGGACGGGTCCTGCGGGCACCCGCGAGGGCCAGGGACTACTGGCTACGGGGCAGGGGGTGGTGAGCTTGTTCCGAGCCGAGGATCAAATCAAAGCCTGGGGGATTAGGGCGGGGGGGTGC